TTCTGACGCTCTGCTCCACGTGACGAAACATCACCGAGTCTTCGTCCGGCTCATAGATCATTTCCCGGATACGATTCAGCGACGCCAGCTCCGACTTGCGAGTTTCGGCCAAGATCACACGACAGACCTTCGATTCCAGCGCTTCAGTGGCAAATGAATCCGCGGCAGCGTTGTATTCTCGCACAACATGAAGATATTTCATTGATCGAAGCTTGGCCGCGAGTTCCTTGTGAGTATTCAGCAGCGCTAGCAGAGTTTCCTTCCTGCATGCGATCACCCCTAGCGATTGTTGAATCGCGAGCCTTGAGTCACCAACGATGACTAAATCCTCGGCACCGTGCGCAATAGCAGCCTTGACACCGTTTAGTATACTTGTATACTCTGCCTCATTCACCGTGGTGGCCGAGAGGAAAGCGTTTGCAGCAATCACTATCTTCCACTCAGGAAGACTCCACAGCACCCATGAACAACTCCCGTAGCCACCGTACTGCTCTGTCTTCGCTGATCCGTCAAAAGACATGACGAATCCGTGGTAACTACGAGGAAGCCTGGCGTACAGCAACGCGGGGTCCATTCGAACAGTCGGGGAACCCTTGTTTTGGAGGTGCCACCGGCGCGAGCGAGTCTTCCAGGTCGACGAAGCCCGTGATGCTTGACTGCAGTAGCTGCGCGAAAGCGACATCCTTCTCCTTCACGCGCTGCGCCTTCAAGTGTCACTGCGATAGCAGCACTGCGAACTGGACTGCGCGTCCGAAGAGAGACTTCGACTTATGTACCCACTCTAACGTCGAGAATCGTGTATAGACATGTAGCGTCTTTCTTGCCAGTTGGACGTAACAGCTCTTCAGCAGCAGAAGTAACGCCAAAACTTCCTTCTCGGCAGGATGGTAGTTCATCTCGGACTCCTTGAGCACACGACCGAGGAACCATACGGGGAGTAACTTGCCTTCAAGTTCTTGCATTAGCGTAGTGCTCAACGCCCATTCATTCGCAAAGAGCATGACATGAACTGCCTTCGACCGATCGAAGTGCCTTAGGATGGGTGAATGTGAAACACTCGCCTTCAATTTCTCGAAGGAACGACGTGCCACAGAAAGGCCACGTTCAACGGCAAAGTCTTCATCCTTGAGCTGGTACAGCACCGCACCGTAGACCGCGAAGTCTTGAATGAAGCGGCTGTAGTAATTAACTGCTCCAAGAAACGACTGCATGTCCTTCTTACTCGTTGGAAACGAAAGTGTTCTTCATCATGGTGTGTGCTGCCTTATGCCAGCTGGTCGCTAACAAGCCCTATCATAGCACACTCGTTTACTGCGCCGATACCGACAGAGACCATGTTGTTCTAGTATGTAACACGCCATCGGGTCTGGACGAAGACCGACCTGTCAGCCCGAGAACAGGGACGCGCTCGCGCAACTCAACGATTACGAGGTAGGTCTGCAGAATAGTGACCACTTGTCCTATCCGATTTCACATGTATGCATCGGTCGATTGTGTTCCGTCAGACCCGCCCCATTTGGATCCAAGACTACTCAAACCACAGCTACCCAGTGGATCAGGCTCGATCCGGCAGCACCTCGGTGTATGTAGCAACAGTGACAACCACTACAAAGGTCAGTGTCAAGGACACGACTGCAGAGCACTGCAGCAACCCTACCGCCCTCACGGCTCTTCAGTGTCTTGACCCCAGTGCACGAGATCTACAACTGTAGCCGGGCGCCGATCTGGTGGCGGCACCAGTGACTGCAACCTCTGACCACTTCAAGACTGCCGTCAACCTAAAATGAACGGGCAACAAGGCGCGCGTGGGCAGCACTGTGCCACCGACCGCTTCGATCGATCGTGTACTTACGGTGAAGACTAGTACGGTGGTACACTGTGTACAAATGTTGCATCATCAAGAAAGCATTCAACAATCAAGTACTACATCTACACGTCCGGAGATTGCGCCAGTAACAAAGATCTAAAGAAGATCGTCTACTAGATCTACAGCAAGCACCGCTTCATGTCGACAATGACTGTAGCCTACAGCCCAAAAAAGGAAGCATGCTTGCCGCAAGTGCACGGGCTACCGGAAGTCTACGCAAAGATATTATTTCATGTGTGCATCGGGCGTTGGCGGCGGAAGGCGTCGCGATATGTTTCTCATTGGAGCTTTGTCGTTCCTGTTCAGCTGCTATAAGCTGTGGATGTCGTGCAGGACTGCGTTTAGATCGACCACGGCACGACTGGCGTGCTCGCGAAACTCGACAAGGCTGCTTGTCCTGTTCTTGCATTCCAATTCGCCGAAGATATTCGGGCCGCGTGTTTTTTTTTTGGAGAGAAAAAAAACCCGGGTTTCCCTAATACGGCCGTTCGCGTATGGTTTTTTTTTCGGCGGAATTTTTTTGACAAAGCCTCAAGCCCCAGTCGGCTCTCGGTGCTTAGGAGCATTTTCGTTTTGGTGCTGTGCGCGAGCACAAGTTGGCACCGAAGTTGATAACATTTCGAGTGGGTCGCACACCTCGAACATAATCGTCCCAGATCACTTCAAGGCCTTCACTCAGATTATGATCGTTTTTAGAATCTACAATCTAGAAGCGATCCAAATTGGTAATCCGGCGAGACGGCTGCCCCCTCGTGATTAATTTTCGGAGTCCCCGCGCCTTGTGAAGTTTGTGGCTTGAGCCGGCCAGATGGGATCATGGCCAGATTGCTCAAGCCAGATGGCGACGCAGTATAGAGAAGTTGTTTACGGAGCGGTGCCGGTGGGTTTTCATAAGAATCACGGGGCCAGGTTTGGCAGATCACGTGCTGCATTTCTCGATTGCGTGTCTCTGCTCAAGGTTTGTGGCTTCGGCCGGTGAGGTGCCAATATGTCGTCGTTTCCATCGCCCAGGCGGCGATGCTGACGCAACTTTGAGGTTCAATCGCTGCTTCGTTGTTCGTGGAGTGGTTTGGGTTTCGCCAAATTCAGGGTGTGACGGCCAGATAAATGCGTAGCACTGCCCGAATTTTTGTCAGATTGCGCTTGGTTCCGGGTTTTACTACGAGTTGCGCTGATTTTACACTAAAATTGCGTTTGTTATGAGACTTCGGCGCTTGATAAAGTGTCCGCTGCGGACTTCGATCAGGTGATTTGCCTTCACTACGCTAAGTTAGTGCAAACAATGTGGGGCCCGTGGTCAAATTGATACTAAAGCGTATTTTTGGGTAGGTGACTAGACATTGGATCGGTAAGCGTAGATCCGTTCGCTTATTTTTTTATCCCTGAAGTTTATGGTGTTCTAATTGATCTTTCGAGTATTTGTTGATGCTAGAATTGCGTGGTGGTGGAATGCCAGTCACGAAATTTGCGTTGATTCCTTGCCACTGTACCACGCAGTCAGTATGCTTACTGTCCTTACATTGTAGGATTGAGTTGGAAACGTTGGGTGGAATGTTTCTTGAAAATAATGCTAAGCGTAACAGTGGCCACTGTGCAGACTTCGACAATCGTCGCTCTCGGTTTGTTCCATTTGGTGGCACATTTGG